CTGGTTACAGGAGCTAGTCTAAATGAACTTTGTCCCACATGTCAACAGATAACATCAGGGTGATGTTGGACATGTCACAGATTATATTCAGCCAAGTCAACTTATCACAACAAACTAAATTAACATAATAGACATGCAGATCAATGCAGTGAGACATATCTGACTTATTACGTTATGTCGTTCGCACCATACTGGGCAGTAATATACTAATAGTTGTCACACATGTTCAGCGATCAATCATGACATGACATAAGGTATGACTGCGTAACATGCCGACATGACCCACTGGAGTGTTAATGTACACTAACAACCATTATTTGAATTCAGTATCAAATAAAACATGATATCAACATGATCAAATGACTGATTTGTGGGAGTTATGTAATCAGAACACAACAAGCTGAGAATCACATGTATAAATACACAAAAGCCTCATAAGGCTCGAAGCAGGTAAGGCTTCATCATTTTCAAGGCATGTTGATGTTTCTGTGCTGTAGAGTTGAGTAAATATCACATGAGTTTTGCTATTTTATTTATAGTTATTTACATGTAGGACACACAATGCTTATGAATTTTCCACTCTTTTTCACGATCGATCATTCAATCATTATATTTACATGATCAATGATTAAGTGGATCACTTAGACTGTTTCTCCAACCATTAATCAATTGAACCAATTGCCAACACTAGTACACAGTTTATCTAGGACTCCAAACTAAGTGCCCTTAGCAGCCACATTTTGAAAAAAAATATCATTATTTTGTTCAAAATTTTGACTTCATAATGCTCTTGTTTTCTTAAATTCAGAGGTAAATTCACATAATGTATAACAATACATTCAATGCAATATGTTAAACTAAACGTTAATCTCTGACAGGCATATATCACGTGGAATAGCAGGCGATCTATTGTACCAAAACAGGAAGTTCGAAACGGTGCACGGGAATCATTCACGTTGATACGTTCAACACTAACACCGTATTCCTGCCTGCATGATTCCCGCGCACTCTTTCGAAGTTGAGTTGATTGGTTCAACTGTGTCATATGGCCCTGTGACGCAGGGGTAGCATTATGCAGATAGCTGTTTCAATGAATGCTCGTTCCACCCGTGACGAACAGGTCTGGTTGATGATGAAATATAGTGATAGCTAAATAGACAGATTTTTTATTCAAGCACCGATTGTCCTTAAATGTAATATGCAGTTATGTATGACTGTTTAATAATCTCATACCAACTTTGACTGGAGTAGGTGCAATAGTTTTTCAGATATTGTAGTAAACGTTTGTACCTTGAATTACCTTCCAGACTATACATGTTAGCCAAAGAAAACATTTGTCATGCTCTGATGCTTTAGGCCATGCCCCCAAATAGGTTTGTTTCGGAAGCCAATTATGGAGCAAGTGATTTCAGCGCTTTCACTTAACCATACTTTCCACCAATATTTTGAATTTTTCTCTCAAGAAAATTGAGTAAATTAGGGCTTATCTAGAACTCTATGGTTACACTATAAGTGACTAATGTTTGCATTCCTTCTGACTTTATATGTTTAAAAAAAGATAAAACTTCAGTCAACTTCAGTTTATGCATGACCAGATCGTTTTTATTCGTGTATCTAAATACATATTGCCAGGGCAACGGTCAAACTATTCCCAGCCGGACATTTGGACCTATCTCTTGAGACCTACAGCAGGTACCCAGGTAGGGTTGGGTAATAGGGGTGTGGGTACCTGGGTAGTAAATTTGGACTTGTCCCAGGCCTAAACTAAATGTATCTTGGAAAATTGATATTCGCAACCAATGCAATCAGTTTTTCAGTTCACTTGCCCTTTAGTGCTTAGTTCAATGTTAAAATACCTCTGATTTTAGGAAAAGAAGAACCAAAAATATCACAATTTTGAACAAAATAATGATTCTTCCCAATTTGGCTGCCAAGTGCACTTTGTTTGGAATCCTAGATCAATGCCTCAATTAGTAGCAAAAGTCACAGGGCTGGTACAAAACATTAGGGAAATAGTCTTGCTATCTTATCATGCACACCTCAATAATTCCAACAATTCCTGTATGTTCATACAAATAGCCTGTCAGATGACCTCAGCAAAATAACTCATCAATGCTTGTTGCAATTGTCCAGTGGACCTACATATCTGTATGCACCCTCGTCAGGGCAATGTAGGTTCTAATTAATGTACAAATATGCCAATAATATGGTGCATCATCCCCATTTAAACAGTGTAAATTGTGCAGAAAATTCATCATTGATATACTGTAGAATACTGTAGAAAAACCTGTGTGTCCCTTAGCATATACTTAACAACTAAAATATACATTCTTTTAATATTTTGCAAAAACACTGATCATGCTTTGTAGTTAGTGCTAGTGGCAGTGTTTGAAAATAAGCATGAACGGCAATGGGTCCTTTTCATAACACATAATTCACACTAAAGTTGAAAGAATGAAATTGTCCCAAGGAGGAACCCCATAACGTCAACCACTGTAGTGGTGTTCCATTTCTGCAGCTAATAAAGCTCATCACAAAGTTATAACACAAAAGAAGATGGGGGGGACCAGATTGTGAAGCATAGTCCCTCTCTGAGAAGTCCTCATAACTCAAGACAAAGTTTCAGCTTTCTAGGAATACACATTTATGACATGATTATTAAACAATAAACTAAACCTAAACTACTCACAATTTTATTAAAAAAATCTTATATTTCAATCACAAAACATTATTTTGAATTTGCAGGTCTTGAAAAAACATGAGCCTCCTTTAATGCTATTGTTCAATTTCAGAAACACCTAATAAACATTTCAACTCATTACTAGTGAGTGTGTTGGGATTAATGGCCCTTTGAGCAGTATTCAAGTTACCGTATTTGACGTAACAAGCGCCTCACTCTAATTAGCACAATATGCCAATATAGTGGCTGGTGAACAATCCCAATTAGCACCCCTTCCGATTGATCAATGTACACAAGACTTATTTATTCCTGTATAATACGTGAGTTATATGCATCCTTAATTATGGGAAATAATGTCAGCATAAACCACGAAATTTACGATCTTTCGAATCTGTTGTTTTTCACCAAAATAATATTCTTATAAGACCCCCATATTTCTAATTTTGAGAGCGCCCTGGGCGCTTATTATGTCGAACATGGTATATCACAGCATGTCAAAGCCCAATGTGATGCAGGTCTCAGACATTTACCACTTTGAGAAAATGCATGAGCATGGGTATAGACAGCATGGTGTTGACAAATCAAGAAACATAATCGGGACGAAACAGGATTTAAACCCACAAATATAGGTTTCTGGCGTGCCCAAGGATGCAACTATGCACATTGTATTGCGGTCCCTTAGCTGAATGGGCCACCCCTGCCCCCAAGTCAATACTAACACTCCTTTGTAGAGGCAATATTAAACATGAATAGTTTACGGATGACACTAATCATACAGCTGTTTGGACCAGATGACAAGCAAATATGGAACCTGATACAAAGCCAGCAGAGGAGATGAAACTAATCTGGTTTTTTTATATGTCACTGGAAACAGATCTAAATAGTACTTATTACTTATATTTGTAATGGCCGTGCCTAGAAATATAAGGACGTTGTGGCAATGTTTTCAACTGATTACAAGTGTATCTTTGACATGTCTTTGTTTTCTATAATATTCCCTTATTGATGGTTCACTCAACCTGCTTCAAGGTGTTGACATTATATTGGATCAGTTTATATCCTGACACATACCAGTGGTATATGATTCTAGGGATATTTGGTAAATAAATTCAGACTAAAAGCTAAATCTCTATATCCGAGACAAATTCCACTACATATCAATTAGCAATGATTAGTGCAATGTCTACCAACATCTTGGACTCATGGACACGGCTAGCAGTTGCAAAATTAATTAATTTTTCTATTCAAAACTGATATTAGTGATAAAATTATATAGAAGACTCTTAAAGGGGCAGTATGTCGATGGTTCTGTTTTTAGTAATGCATGAAATAATTTCCGAGTGTGAATTTTGCATCTGTTTCATTCTGGACGAGACAACACATGTAGATAAACATACATCATAAAATAAAACTTTCAATGAGAAAATATCCTGAACATGAAAAACTATTTCCATTTGCGTATTCATCCTCCACATCAGGTCATCAAAGCCCTACTGAGAACTAGCGATAATATGGTCACTTTGATGTGTAAAGCTCTATTGTTATGCACCTCACTGTAACCTTGTCATGCTTGTGTTGACCATGTTGACAAACAGAGATTTCATAAACTGCAGCACTGAATTCAAATTTCAATGATGTGGCTGTTGTCCTTTTCTCTACTAAATGATGCATGTCTACCATGACCAGATCTCTTTGTTAAATAAACATGTTCAAAACACTGTGAGTGTTATTGAATTTTGGTTTGTCCAACTACAAACAATTAAACCTATTCTGCACAGCATGAATATGTTGAACAGTCATGAAAAGAGTAACGCTTATGGTGAAAGTGTCTCTTGGCCTTATCTAGATCTATGACAATAATGTTCATGATTACTCGACCCTGTTTGATAAAACATCTATAGGTCCAACACACAAGTCTAGCTCAGGTGAAAACTATTCATGTTCCGAGACGTCGGTAGCTCAATCTGGAATCCTCAATCTCCAAGTGTTCGTCGTATTCTTACATATGTATGATTCTGTATCTTAATTAATGGTTAACGCACGATGCGGTGACACTTTATATACAAGACTTAGCTTCTAGAAGACGTTTACATGAACCACACACTCTCCTCACTGCTTAAAAAAAACAACAGTATCATATCTTCCATGCTGGCACATTGTGGATGTGTAGTCTGTAGATGAAAATATGTGCAGAGTTCACCTTCAGAATTACTGTTGACAAAAGACTATTCAGCGTTCTTTGGCCAAAGTGCCAAATATGTGACTGGTTAATCAAAATCTAAGATCAAGACAGCTCAAATAACGGTCAATGACATCTTACCAGGTGGAGAATCGTATGTTGGCATTTTGCTTCTACGGCTTTCCGCCATAGCAGATTTGAATATGACGTCACAAGCGCATATTCTGATGACGAAAGAACAAATGGGAAAATTGTGAAGTTCTACCAGTTACTTCCCTTATTCAATACATACATCGTGTAAATTGACACTCTCTATTTCAGGTCAAGTCAGCTTTCTCGGGCACTTGTGCACTATTTCAATAATATTTTCGAGACGACCTATTATCATTATTATTGTTCTTTAAACGGTCTTCTTATGACCAAGGCAAAACCCTATGCACGGTACAGGACTACAGGTATGTATTTGGATACATGCAAATGTATTCCTAACTTATATTTTCATGTCGTAAAAATCACCAAGAAGATCTTATGCTGATGTCTTTGAATTACAAATATAAACTGTATTTTTCTCTTCAAAGTGTGAAGATCGTCAAGAATAAATAATACAAGAGAGTCTATAATTCGGCTGCTGTTCCAAATATGGAACGATAATAAATAAAACGGTAAGCCACGTTAAAGTTAAAATTAATGAATAAATGCTCATTTAATTGAGCACCAGTATTAATTTACTGATTAACCCGTTCGGATTAGCTGGTGATTTACCTTGATGTCTGTTGCTGTGGCAACCCAATTATCTTCAATTAACGGACAGGGGTGCTCAGTGAATGAGCGTGCACTATGCAGAGAGTGTAATTACTTAACTTTTTTATGAGGTGTTGAGACAATGCATCATTAGGTGACTTGTGTAAGTTTATAAATTGAAGTTAGTCTGTACCTTGTCTTGATGATGGTGATAATGACGGTAAATAACTTTGATTTGTATGGTGTGTGTGTGTGTGTGTGTGTGGGGGGGGGGGGGGATAATCTAATTTTCGCTAAATTTATTAACTCAAAAACTTTGACGTTTTCATTTTTTCCAAGAAAGGAAATTATTTATTTTCTTTTACCACTGCCAACAAACTATTTATTATTGGCATATTTCTGAAAAGGTTTCATGTAACACCCCCTCCCAAAATTCAAATCAAATGGGTGCTCCCTTATACATTTTATAGTATTAGTGTAAGTATTGTTGTTGCTATTATTATTATAAAGCAGATGTAGAGAGATTTGGAATCTTCTCTCGCCACTTGTTGTTTTCACTATCGTATGAAATATAATTATAATGAAAAACATAAAATGGTAAAAATGCAACGTGGATAACTAATAACAACTATATGTTGTGTACTGTATAAACTGTGGGAACAGAATCTTAAAAATACCTTACAGCTTGTGGTGTTTCGCAAAAGTTTAGGTTTTTTAAAGTAAATGCACGTGTTCTCGATAATAACTGTAAAAATAATACTTCACCAATGTCATAATAGGGGACACCAAGCTCAATAAAACACATTTATACAGGATAAAACTTGTATGACGACGGAACAATGGGTTCAAGATATGACAATTAGTGTATTGTTAATGTGAGTCATCTAGCTAGTGATTGCCATGGTAACGAACAAGTTACTTTGTCAATCTTACGTCCTTGGGGATGATTGTGACACAAGTGGACACGAGCTCCGGGGGGTTACAATAATATGATATATTATTTTTGGCTATAAAAAAAGGGAATTAAAAACAGCAATTACATGTGCTGTTAAAAACAGCAACAGCGATTTCATGTCATGATATTATATACAATTAGTGGTCATCCATATATTCTTTCCATGACCTGACGTCATGCACTACTTTGGGAACCTGTTTACCATCCGGCTCGAAAATATATCAATGGGCAAGCTTCTTCATTTAAACAAAAATATGTTTATGTAAGAACTGATATCTGATATATTGTAAATAGAAGTCGATATTTAGTGTGTTTTCTTCATCTGTTCACGTTGATTACATGTTTTATTTAATTAGCGTAACGGTAAATTTTACACGCACTCTTTAGGGAATGTCGCAGTAGAAATGAGTGAAGCAGCCGTGGCAATTTATGGCTGTTCGACTGCCCTGATTATACCCCAACTTTCACATTTGCTGTGCTGTTTATTGTATTAATGTAGGAATTGAAGGTATGTGTCTGCAATAGTTTGACATCTTAAGATCTTTGAAATAGCTTTTAATTTGCATGTGCATCACGCTATTCACAGTATGTATTGCTTCAACACAGTGACCCTCTGCGAGTTAGAAATCGCATTTCAATCATTTGACGTTTCTCGCAATAAGATATCTGGAAGCTACGACATCGTTATAAAATTGGGCTGTTGTGTCAGGAATGTGTGAGTAGTTGAGTCAATAATAGATTATCGATTTCGCACATTGCTTTAGTTTTTGTTATCACGGAGGAACGTGTAGCATCATAATAACAACAGTAAACAATCGCCTAAATTCCGGTCGTAATATTGCGTTATGAATGATCTGTCAAATTTAGCGGATTGTGATAAATTGACATCAGTAGGTCCAAGTATATACGTTGTTATATATTGTCGCACATCATTAGTTTTAGTGTTTTATCGAGTTACAGAGCTGTATTTCTACTTTAATATCAATTAATGTGTTATTTGAGTTGACCAAAGTAGCTTTTTGTGTGTGACCTCAATAAATCCTATATGTGTGTTAATCAGATGGATCACATTTAGCATAACCATTTATCCAGTTTGTAACTTCTGTTGTATTATAATTGACATCAAGTTATAAATGTGTTATGTAGCCTGTCTACATTGTGATTCACTTTTGTTGTAATTACAATATTTCATCTGTGTTTTCTCAGGATATTTCCAAGATGTGACACAACAGATGGCCACTCATTCTGCACGGCATAATATATCAACTAAAAAGACTACGCTTGTTAACAAAATGATGCATAGAATGGTGACTCGTGTTTACTAGAAAGTCTTCAGGGATGTGTGTTGTTTGTGCTGGGCAATGGAAGCAGGTCAGAAAGGGGCAGATAATTCAGAGTTGGTCTTATCAGGAATTCCCAAGATGGATACGTCAGGACTGCCATTGCCCATTATACAAGCAGCTGATCTACAAAATTGTCAGGCATTTCCAGATCAGGGAACATCTCTTTCGTATGTTTTCCCCACGATTCCGCTCTCAATCAATGCTTCCATACCACTGCTCACAGAAGGACTAAAAACTCTTCCAGTAGTGAAAGAAGAAAAAGGATTAAGGCAAACCTTTGATCCTGTCACAACACAAGCACTGCAAGACATTGTTAATTCAGGTTTATATGTACCATTCTCAAAAATGTCCGATTCTAATTTTACACAGAATAGTGACAATGGAAAAGATGTGAAAAGTGGTTTTGAAAGACAAGACATGCAGACGGTTGGTGGCAACCTAGCTGAAGATAAAGGCATGTCACCCCTAAACATTTTAGTGGTATCATACCCCGACACCGGTCAACAGAGTCCTTCTGTCACTCAAGCAGGAGCACAAGGGCTTCGTTTTCAATCTGCAGGTGGTGCAGGGGATGCCATGTTGAGTGCTATAAACTACAACGACAGCGACATGCTGCCAGACAGTGCCTTTGATATGAATGCTGCAAATTCTGCTCCTAACCTGCCACATTTAGATGATGGAATTCTTGGCAGTATGGGGAACCCAGCTCAGAATATCCGTTTGACAGAGGGCCATCCTACCCATTCATTTGACTTATTTGACAGTAATGTGCATGACACATTGTCACTATCACCTCAGCCTTTCTCGGATCCAAGTTTTTCAGTTACAGATACAAGTAACTTAAGTGCTACAACTGGGGATTCAGAAGGTGATTTTTCTTTCAGATTCTATATATCATACTTTATCACATGTAGAAATATATACTTAGACCTGGCTAAATTAGTTATTATGGATTGTCTGCTGAAGTTAATATGCCAACATGGTGGAGATGCTGTGTTGGGTGACAGGTTTGAATAGATTATAGCCAATTATGAAAATAGGAATCTGTTGTAAAATATATACTTAAAGTGCTTAAGAATTCAGATTATTTTGAACAAACTGTTTATTTTGTTGATTATAATTCTTGTAAGTAGTTGTGGGATGATACACTGATGGTATTTAGCCATCCTGTCTGAGAAAACGATGGCTTACACACCACAGATAACAGCACATGCAAGTGTCTTGAGCAAGGTATCATGACACATATCAGATTGCACAGTTGGTGTATTGTCCCAGTGCTGCTTCTAAGGCATAGTAAAGTGTGGATAATAGTTTGACTGCTATTTATTTTATACATTAGCATATTGCTATCATTAAATGTTTGTGTGCACGTGGGTGCAAGCACCATTGAAATATCCTGAAACACTTTGAAAATGCATGTTAAATGTTTTTGAATATTTGGCAAAAGGGCCACAAATATCAAAATAAGTTCTGGGTATTTACATAATTTAGGCATGAGATAATAAAACAACAATGTCATCTTACCCCTGTGATGTGTTTGGAGATGGACTTGAACCCCAAAACAAATCTTTTCTGATTTCGAGCTAGAGCTGATTATGCGTTTTCATTGTGTGTCAGGGTACCAATTTGGTTTTACTTTTGCATAGATAATGGTGAGAAAAATCAAAATTGAATCAAGCTGAGGAAAATGTGTGATTGTTCACATTAAGCTTAATTCAACTGATTGTTTGTTGTCTGATGAAATGATACAAACCTCACCATGCTGATAATCCTTCATGCATATTGTACAACTAAAACATTATTTCATAAAGTACAGGTGCTGCTGCTTGTTTAATTGTTTAGAATATTTCAGGAACAATTGGCAAATGTTATCCCATTACAAAATTGACTTTCAGCAGGTAGTGGTGAGCGGCGGCAGTCTGTGGAATCTCCTACTGATGGTGCTAGTAAAGCCAAAGGTAAAAACCGCCAGCCCAAGGCTCAGGTGTCTCCGTCTAAAACAATGATACAGTGCCCCACCTGTAACAAAGCTTTCAACAACTCCAGTGCCTTGGCTAAGCATCGCCTGACACACAGCGATGAACGCAAATATGTTTGCTCCGTCTGTCAGAAGGGCTTCAAACGACAGGATCATCTGTAAGTTTTGTGTTTATATTTTCTTATATTATTTGTTTGCCGTACATACGAACAGGTTTCGATCTGATATGGTTGTACTGAGTGTATGCATATTTTAACATGTTTAAGATAAGAGCTTGATTTCTTGTAGAGTTCTTGTAGAAGCAACCTTTAAAGTTTAATTATTAAGTAACTTGAGATTATTGAGTAGCATTGTACCTGCATGACTGACTGTTAGGATTGTTATCTGCATTCAAACCATTAACTTGTTTGCTTCCAACTTTGCATTTATCTTTGCAAATTCTACATAGTTTGTAAATTATTGTCAGCTGTTCGATTTATGGTTATCTTTTCGTGGATCAGTTGCAGTTACCATGGTTACTGATGTTAATGCATCACATGTGCTTAGCATGACTAGTGATGTAATGATACACTTTGTCATTGGATGATTGATATGTGAGTGATTAATAATTGGTCTATCATTCAATGTGTTCAGTTAGAATGATTGTCAATCTGCTGTCATGTATGATTATACTGAACAAAATGTAAAAGAAATTGAATATGTGATTTCTTTTGTAATTTTAAACATGCCAACTAGACAATGCAACCACCATGATCATGTTGCTTTTCATAACTTTTTTGATAAGAATGTACAGTATGTAGATATTTTTGTGATACTGGTAAACTGGGATCCGTGAAGACTCGGGTAGGAGTTGGTCTTCAGCAACCCATGCTTGTAATGTAAGACTAGGAGGCAACTAACAGGTTCGAGTGGTCAGACTTGCTGACTAGGTTGATGCATGTTATTGTATCCCAATTGTGTAGATCGATGCTCACAATGTCAATCACTGGATGGTCTGGACATTAAAAGATGGTACTTGTTATTACCCGGCCTGGTGCTAAGCATTAAAGGGCTAAAACAAGGACTGGTCGGCACAGAGTCAGTATACTGTGTCTGAGTGGGGTATTGATGTTAAACTGTTGACGCGCATGCACACAATCACGCATGCCGCTGTATGAGTGCCAGAATCTTGAATGCGATGTTAATCCTCATTTCGCCTTACAGGATGTATATATACATCAAAGGTCTTTTATGTATTTTAGCCAATTACACTCAAAATCTGGTGAAAGCTCTTGAATTTACCATGAAAAATATTATTTACAAGTCATTTTCATTTTCACCTTACATGTACATGTATCGATGCATCACTTTATCATCCATAAAGGAGACGAAGATACTTGCGTAACCCTCACATAATCCTTGTCGTGGGTGTGGGTTTTGTGAAGCATGGCATACATTAACCGTTAACCTGTACAATGAGTCTTGTTCTGCTGTAGAGAATAGTACTGCACTGAGTTTACCATGTTTATTGTTTTGTACACACAAGCCAGTTTTTGTCCATTTGTTCCATCACACACTCCTTGATCAGAAAATCCCCTTCAGGTGCAGCTAATTACCATGACCACAATGAACAAAGGGCAGCTAGTTCCTGTTCATTAGGGGTACTAGATGTTTCACTGCTCCACTTGGCTAATGATGGGTTCAGTTTCATGTCAACAGCTTGATCACGTTAATGGAGTTTTATTGAGTCATGTTTTCTATATTCTTCTGTTCAGTGCATGTGCCAATGTTGTGATGGCTGCTTGGTATTTCAGCAATGGTCACATGATGACACATCGAGAGAAGAAGCCATACCAGTGTCAGATGGAGGGTTGTGAGAAGAGCTATTGTGATGCCCGATCTTTAAGGCGTCATCTGGAGGCAAACCACCACCAGTCACCTGAGGCCATTGCCAACAGTGTTCAAGCCAGTATGGCTGCAGCTGGTATTCCTACAACAACCCCTGGAAAACCCCGACCGGCAGAGAAGCTGGCCGTGCAGGAGGCTGTGAGTCGGATGCAGATGGGGGGGTCCCCCTCCTACAGCGCCAACACCACCCCCTCACCTAGTCCCAGCTACACAAGCCCCAACCCACAAGGACAGATATTCCAGTTTGAGACCCAGTCTGGTTTACCGACCACTGTTGTTTCCACACAACAAGCTACACCACCCCAGGACCAGTCCTGGCAGGAAAGAGCTAGAGTGTATGATTTTGTAGGTAAGGTCTAAGTAGATAGATACTGTATATCAAGCCTTTTACAGCCTCAGAAATTTGGTTATTTTTCAAGACTAGTGCAATTACTTGTGTAAACCTTACTTCACTAGTCCTCACTGTCCTGCATGAATGAGATAAAATGTTTACCGTTTTCATTTTCTGTCAGTTTTTGTTCCAATTTGTAGCATAATTGAGAACTGGTTCAGAATCATAGCCCTCAATTGCTGCTTTTATGATGTTTTGCATCATTGGATTTTTTACTTGTCATCAGCTCAATTTAGTAGTCTTGGACTAGCATGAATTTTGAAGGTTTTTATATTTTGTTAGTTGGTTTGCAATATCAACCAACACAATTTTGTGGCATACAGGACCCTTGAAGCAATGTAATTCATAGCTGTTTAGAGGGCAATACATTCTTTAGAAATAACACTGAAAACCCTGAATGTTTGTGATGACTGACTGCTGAAACAAGTGTTAAACCTTCTACTAACAAATATCTCAAATGTCCTGCCCAGTGAACAGAAAGTTAATTTAGAAGTTTGAAATTAAGGATTATTTTTGCTGCCACCTACATTTAATTTTGATCCAAACATCATGAACATTGGTCATGTACATAGTCAAGTTTCTAAATGTTAGCCTATACTGGGGCCGGTCGGTTGTTGTATCCCCAAATCAGGGCCCGGTGATACTGCCTGGACCTGTGGTTAGTCATGTGATGTATTGTTTAATGACAATAATAATAAAACTCTATGGTTACACTTCAAGTCCCTGATGTTCGCATTTCTCTCTGACTATCATGGACTATACCTGCATTTATTGTGACTTTCATATCTTTGAGTTAAGATTTAATTTCGGTCAACTTCAGCGTATGCATGATCAGATCATGTATCAAAATTGTTTTTGCTAGGACTCTGGTAAAACAGTTCCCAATCAGACATTTTGTACCCAACTCTCTAGACCTACAGCGGGTAGCCAGGTGGGAAATTTGGACTCATCCAGCTCTAGCCTGTACCCTGGAACTAGTTTCTTCTGTGTGTCAGGTTTCAGGCAATAGATTCTCATTGGTTTATGAAAATGGGGTTCTTTCATGCAGTTGGTTATGTATGGTGTCTGAAAACCAAAAGGTTGTAAAGTCCAGGACGACTGCTTGTATTTGTTTCGCTTTTCTTATTGTTGAAGGCACCTCAGGCTCCAGTCAACCCAGCCCTCATAGCGGGGATCAGTCTCCAGGGTATGCTGCCCAGGTTAGCCCAGTGACACCAGTGAGTCCGATACCCCACAACCAACCCACCAGTCCCCTCACGGGACAGCAGCGACCAGCCTGGTTCACCACAACACCAACACCACAAACGGAGAACAAGAATACAAGGTAGGGGAGTTCAGCATACATGATACAGTATATATGGAGAACCTTTCCATCATGATATCGGTATGAGGGCTTCCAGGGGAGATAAGTGATTCTGGGGACAAGTTGTGTGTTATGTAAAACTGTTTGGAACAGATATCGTTGAGTGATAAGCCATTTTGACAGCCCTTTCTTTTTCCGTGTGTTTTAAAAGAGGAGCTTGCCCTTTCATGATAATCATAATATATCAGAGGATAAGGTGTGACCAAGGGAGATAAGTCTTGTAGGCAGTCACAATTTTGCAGATTGCACAATTGGCTGCAATGAAATTTTAAATCAGTGGTATGTCAGGCAGGTAACAATGAAGTAAGAAAGGCTTATTGCATGTATTTTTAATGTTGTATGTTTACCTTTTTACAATTTCACTGGTTGCAAGTTAATGTTGATATTCTTCTATTTTAGTGAAGAAACCAAGCCACCCGTCCAGTGCAGCATCTGCCAGAGGCGGTTTAAAAATATTCCAGCACTCAATGGTCATATGCGTCTTCATGGAGGATATCTTAAAAAGGTTTGTTTATTTTATTGTTAATTAAGTTATCAGAGTATTGTATTTCTAGATCAAAGACAAGTCATTCAGTGGGTTAGTCTTCAGTCAATGGTCCTAACAGAACCCTTTTGTCATTTTGGTCAAATGTGAATACTGCTTGTTTCCTATTACAAGTAACTCAAAATATTTGTATCCCCGGGGGCTTCAAATTAAGATTATGCTGTATGTCTTGTTCTTTTTTTCTGTCTTCTGAGGAAATGTTTTGTTTGTATATGCAGAGTAAAGAAGAGAAGAAGGCGGCTAAAAAGACTGAGATGGGACCTCCTCCGCCCCCTTCCCCAAGACAGACTGTCGCCACAGCCAACCCAACACAGCTGCAGGTCCAGATGAGTCCAGTGTTGCCCAACATCAGCCAGGCATTCCAGACACTGTCAACAACACCAGAAGTGAGCACCAGTCAGAGTACATTACAGGCTTGTGGGCTGACCACTGTCACTGTGCACCAGGGTCAGATCAGTCATGACAGTCAGCTTCTTAGGCAGCAGCAGCCACAGCAGGTCATCCACCAGCAACTTCAGCTTCATCCCAATCCACAAATCCTGGAAGAACAAAGTACTAATTCCATAGAAGAACAAATCAAGAATCTTCAAGCCCAAGCCTTCCAGCAGCAACAACAGCAAGATCAGCTGGCCGCAGCCCAGGATCAGCTTCCATCTTCACATGCTCAACAAGCCGCTCAGCAGATCCAGCAGTTGGTTCAAAGCGTGCAAGCAGACCAGCTGCCTCAGCTTACTGTGCAACAACTTGAGCAGCTGCAGCAACATCCACCTCAACAGATACAAGTTCAGCAACCCTTGGGACAGATTCATCAGTTACCCCAACTGTCACCACAGCAGATAGAGCAGCTGCAGCAGCAGCACTTGCAACTTGGGCTGCCAGCTCAGCTCCAGGCGACCCAGCTTCATCAGCTCGTGCAGGAGCATCATTTACACCAGTTGCAGCAACAGCAGGTGTCCCAAGCAGAGGTAATCACCACCCATTCCCAGCCAATCTCATCTTCTCAACAGTTCATTCAGCTGACACCTCAGCAACAGCAGCAGCTGCAGCAGCTGGCGGAGATCACACACATTCCTGTGCAGGAGATGTTGGATGATTCGAAGGATAGTGCAGCAGAGAAGCAGCAGCAAATACAGCAGATTCAGCAGCATCTGGCAGCTGTGGACCAACAGACTGCTCAGAGTAGCGGCCAGCAGAATCCCTTTCCTCAGAATGTAGAGTTTACATCTGCAGGAGAGGTCCAGATTGCTCAACACCAGTCTCAGGACTTACCACAGCAAATTAACTTGGATATTGCTGCTAGAGACTTGCCACCAAATTTGGAACTCCAGCTGCCACAACAGTTATTGCCCCTCCAGTCTCCACCCATAACACTTAACTCTGTGGCTATACAGAGCAGCTTGCAAAATGCACTCAGTTTAGTGCCTCATCTTGAACAAAGACAAGTGCTGTCAGGCAGTGGACAGACCCAGTTCGTCAGTGCCCCACATCTGACTACAGGGCCAATATCCTTGTCACCTGTGACAGACAACCAAGAGGTGACTGTTGCACAGCTACTTAACAGTATGGCAAACTTTCAGGAGGGTCTGTTACTGCAGCCCACGAGTCAGACACAGACAGGAATCCCCAGTGACATCTCAGTGATGCAGAGTCAGCCATCTGTTACCCTTAACCAAGATAACTTGTCAAATATTCAGTCAACTTTTAACCCTCTCCACATGCCACAGTCTGTCTCAATTCAGTCTCTTCCAACACCACAACAAATGTTGGACAGCATTACCTCAATGCCTCACTTATATACTATTAAATCAGAACATTTACCAATGGACATTCAGAGTTCAGTCTTGGGAGAGGGGAGCATGGCTCCAAAACACAAAAGTGACTTTAAGCCTATTGTAGAGCAGAATAGTGAACTTAAACGTAGATTGTCTGCTGATTTAGATAGAAGCTGCTCTCCTAAGAAACTGTTAACATCACAGAACAGTCTTGCTATGCTTCTCACCAGACCAGGTGGTGATAGCTTTGCTAAGCCATCACTGACTAAAGACTTGGATGCAGTGAGCAGGGTTAGAATGAGAAGTAAGTCAGGAGATGATCACAAATTAAAAAGATCAAAAAGCGTGGATCACACATTCATGCGACCCAGAAGTCGCACTGAGTCTGAATCAATATATAGACCAAAAAGTAGGGTTGATGACACAATTATTGGGAGAGCTAAGAGTCACCCTGACGACATGCTGTCCAGATCTGATGGTGCTGGTGTGTTCAGAAATCCAATGTCCGCCAGTCCCATGAAGGTGAAACGAAAACATAGACCAGCTCCCCTGTTTATTCCATTGCATCTGAATAGCTTCCAGAGTCGACTCCGCTCCCCGCGTCTGTGGGATGGAGGTGATGGGCGACTCCGAGGTTCCACCCCTCCACCTTACACTCCACCGCCTATGCTGAGTCCTATTCGAAGTGGTAGTGGCTTATTTTGGACCTTACCGGGTATCAAACCCATCACTCCCAGATCTGCACCAATCACACCGAAGCTCTCTCTGGCTAACAGAAGAGGTAAGTAACATTTAAGGTTTGTTTTGTATTATCATGTTCTCAGCACTCATGTTTGATTTAAAAATAATATATGATTGTTAACAGATTTTTTTTTCAATATGAATGCACTTTTATGAGCTAAATTAAGTAAAACAGCTTTTAAAGGATATGCTCTGAAGGTTTCAAACTGGTTTTAGTGAGGACTAAACGTAAACAATTGTTTTAGCGAGTCATGGGCACAAGCCTGAGGCCATACCGGAGGTTGTTGAGGAAGAACAAGAAGAGGCTCCACCAGAGACGGATATACAGCCGTGAGTAGCTGTACCTTTTCATGACAGGCTTGCAAAGTGGCACACAGCCCAAATAAAGTGTCAATAGTTAAGGTTGCATCATGACTTCTTAGGATTACTATAGATTTGGTAGATGTTTTTCATGATGACAACTGGTGACTCCAATGAGTTACTTTCTATCACTGTGTGTGTGTCTCAGTATGTAATATGATTGATAACGTGGTAAATATGAGACTGTCCCAGTATTTGATTGATTGATAACGTGGTAAATATGAGACTGTCCCAGTATTTGATTGATTGATAACATGGTAAATATGAGACTGTCCCAGTATGTGATTGATTGATAATGTGGTAAATATGAGGCTGTCCCAGTATGTGATTGATTGATAATGTGGTAAATATGAGACTGTCCCAGTATGTGATATGATTGAAGATGTTGAAATAAGACTGTCCCAGTATTGATATGTACATAAAATGCTAGTTGTTTTCCTTTTGCTAGTTGTCCATACTTCTAGGTCAGAGAGCATATTGTGTATACTTCTTATCTTTAAGTTCACCTGATGTTTGTTATAGTATTTCTAAAGTGAGTATCTCTGTTTCAGACATGTCAATGTTGGAACACAATACCAAGCAGAGTTACCAGCTTATAACTGTGAGTGCTGATTGTTATCTTGTTTGTTGTTTTATGCTGCACTTAGCAATATTCTGGCGATATCAGACAATTTAGTGATTGATATATGATCAACGATTGACACGCAATCACCAGATCCATTGAATCACCTCTTACGACCAGCACATGTTGCTGGGGACCAATCTCCACATGTCCTTGAAGGGGATGAGGATGGTAATGAGATCAATGTATTTGCGGTTCACTTCCAAAAGACGTTAAAATATGGGTCTTGTTGTTACACTGCCTTGAGCTGTGCATTAAGGGGCTAAAACAAGGACTGGTCGGCTCAGGGTCAGTATACTTCGTCTGACTTGGGTATTCATGTTAAATTGCGGCATGTTATCTAAGTAGGCTAGGACTATAATATTGGCATTAGTCTCCTTGTACTAGCAGCCACACACACATGCATGCACGTCTCTATATAAGTGCAATAATCTTGAATGCAATGTTAAACCCAATTGGATCACCTCTCCTCTTTATAGCTCTGCTGCTGTAATTCTTCACACTTTTATAATTTGTTTTTCAGCTGATCGATCAAGAGCAGCAAAATGTGTGTTTGGAGAAGACTTAGTGTGGGAACCTAGGGGAATGGGGTCTAACTCCGATGAGGATGGTAAGTCAATCATGGCTGTATGTTTTCCATTTGTAAGCCAATGTGAAAAATACATTGTTTTTGTTTGCATGTAGTGAGGTGAGAGGTGTCTGGGTCTGGGTAACTAAGATGTAAAAGTACCTACTTCAGCTACTAGGTTGCAAGTTTCTAAGGGGTGGTGGGGTAGCTTTGTGGTTAAAGTACTGACTTGGCTCACTGAATGCCAATGTTCACTTCCCCACTTAGGTAAAATGTGTGAAGTCCATTTCTGGTGTTCTCCCATCCAAATGTCGCTGCAATATCTAGAAGCGACGTAAAGCCGTACACTTTATGAGAGTTTGTAATTATAGTGGTATCTGGTCTTTTTAGGTATTTTTGACATGTAATTTTAAATCATGTTTTACTTACATATGTTCTATTATAATTATGATGTTATACACTAACTTGTTTCTGTCTCCAGTGCAATATTACCAGGACTTTGCATGCTCTGCAGCTGTGAAGGGCAATGGCTCGAATGTTGAATATGCTCTACATCTACTCTACCTTTGTGAAGGAAATGTGCAGGTATTGTCTTTAGGCATGGTGATCTCTATTGCAGATCTGGAACATTGGCTTACCATAGCAATGACCAAGCCAGGTGTAGTCCCTACTCAGACTGACCTATTTTCTCATTATTAAGGCCTTATGGCTAAAAGTAGAAATACAGTGCACAAGTAAATTTATGAAGCGTATATAAAAGTTCTTGCAAGGGACATAACTGCAATTTTACATGCTAAACACATGTTCTGAGTAAATAGCAACCGCTCAGATGTTCCTTTGCTGCTGAGACTATTATATTTACAAGGTCTTGTTTACATAAGGATGATCAATGTTTAATAAATACTTACTAACCAACATTAGATATTTTTCCCATTTTCTCATCCTAAATTTCAACACCATCAAAAATTGTAGATACACAATCAGACTCCTGTACAGAAGACCCCCTTCTTAGGAGGTTTATTTTCAAATTGTGGAAAGATATTCTAAACTTACAGAGAGCCCTTATTAAAGATTTATCGTGTTAATTTATGTATCTATTTCTGGTACCCCTGTGATATAATGCTGAAAACTGGGGAAAACATAATCACTCCCTATAGGAGACCTATTTATAATTCAGCATGGATATGACCATGTGGGAATTACTGGTTACAGCAGTCTCCTAGCAACCAATGCTGGTCGTAAGAGGTGACCAAGTTGAGTTGGTGGTGCCTTGGTTGATTGCGTGTCATTGCACCCTGAAGGCATGGATCCTTGCTCACAATATCCATGAGTGGATTGTCTGGTCCATACTCAATTATTTACAGGCTCTTGCCATATAGCCGGAATATTGTTGATTGTGGCATTAAACAAACGAACATCAACATGGATATGTGCAGGATGAGTACATGTATATATCAGTTATACTGCATGTCTTTTGCTTAGTTAAAGGCAGGTTAGAATAGTGTTGATGTGGAGCCTATATTGAGACTTCTGATATTCTATTAATTGTTAGTGCTTCTATGTAGCAAAGTGTGATACCTCCTTGTCTCTGATTCAGAATGCAATGTTGATGCTGATGGATGACCCACCGAAGTTGCCGAGGAACCATGGAATATCAGCTTTCAAGTATCAAGGTATTTGTGATATGTGACCCATCTTGTTTGATGAAAATAGGCTCTGAGCTGACAGAAGGCTGTGGATTGGCCAAAGAACTGTATTGGGATATATTTTGATATATTGTGATTTATTGTGATACAGGCATCTGTATTGCTATACCAATTGCATTATATTGGGAGCTAAAGTGTTCTTACAGTGATTGACACTGATTGTACATTCAGATCCTATTTTCTTGACACTAAAGTAAATAATACTCAGCATGGTCAGTTGCCGCCATTTTGTAGTCATGGATACAGGGGAGATTAGAATGAGAGGGAAAAATCACTTCCACGTTTCCACCATTGTCAATCAAGTTTGAAGGGAAACATCACTTACGAATGAACGATACAAATTCATATCTTTTTAAACCCAATATAACAGAACAAATACATATCGCATTTGGCGGTATGCCGGTTTCACCAGGCAGTCCTATGAATCACAGCAATCATGGAACAAGGGGAATGCAATCCAGACAAGCATTTTTACAACTTTACTTACAGTCGACATATTGTTTTGAAGGCATTTTCAAACCCTCCTTTAAGGATGCTGACAAAGTGAAACAGCATTTTCAAATTAGTTATTGCTTTGTCTTGGTTTGCAATATTTTGACAATTTTTTTGTGTGTATACATCTAGAATCTGACCCATGGACATCTCAGGAAATTGAGGCCTTTCACCAGGCGCTGCTTCGGTTCAGCAAGGATTTCTTTGCTGTTTCAAATGAGGTTTGTATGATATTGTTTACTGCTTGATATGAGGTTAAATGATAGCTAATATTGGTATCAGTGAAAAAGATGTCCCCATCTCCTGCCTTCCTCCCACATACGTAGCTCATATTTTCTCTCGTTTATTCGCTGGAATTCCAACAACTGATCAATATTGTTCTTCTGAATTGGAGCTCAGCATAGATCCAATTTCAAAGTTGCGTCCTCATCAGAACTAGCCCGAAATATATATAATTAGGTTGTAGAAACAGTTAGAAGGGAATGTTTTCTGGAGAAATTGTTGGCTTGAGAATCAAGACATGTTGCAAGGCAGTTGTGTTTGAGACAGCACACAACAAGGTGGGTCCAACAGGACTCAATGTGAAACTGCATATTTTTTTAATGCTGCTTTGTTATGATTATTTGTTATTTATGTTTCTAGGTGAAAACAAAGAACACAAAGCAGTGTATTCAGTTCTACTACCTGTGGAAAAAAGTTTGTCCCGAAGATTACAAAAAGTTAAGAGCACTGAGGCGTAAGAGAGAACAGGAAGCTTTGTACAATCTGAGATCCCGACCCCAGGGAGAGGAGCAGCAACAGCAGCAGCCTCAGCAGCAGCAACAGCAGCAGCAGCAGCAGCAGCCACAGCTGCAGCCTCATCCTCAACAGCAACAGCAAGAGGAGTCAGACTCTGAGGACAGCATCTCTGCCCACTCTGGAGAACCTAATGTAAGTCAAACATTAACCCCTGCATACTTGGTAACACAGAGTTAGACATTTGGGTAATACTGTTGAGCGAATAACCCTCATCAGGGCATGTATATAACAGTCATTGACTTGAGCTCTGCTTCTTCACATCTTTCTTGTCTTATAAGAAAGGCTTTCAATTTTGAGATGGTGATCATTTGCATGTTACACAGTTTTATTTAGCAGCGCACATGACTATGATATTTTATTTGAAGACATAACCTTTTTTGTATGTGATTGTTGACTAAAGATTAACTCTGTTATTCATTGACCTTTGGACTCCAGATATGGACTTGTATTTTCCAATATGGTCTACCACACATACAAAAGATTATGCACCCATGGCATCATCTATACAGTATTTGCTGAACTGGTAGGAAGGAAAGCTGATGAGGCCTATGTCTGCTATTCCAGATGATGTGTTGACTTATTTGTTGATCAGCTTCAGTATTGGGGGTGTCCCTTTGAAAGCTTGTTTTTTTTTTTATAAAAGCTGCTCTCAGCAATAATCCTGCTTTTTTATGGCAGCCTGTATGTTATCAGGGATGCACCAGATAAACTAGTGATATTATGACATGGGTCCCTGAATTGGACCAACCGATCCATCAAGTCGACTAGTTCAGGTATTTGTTGCTGGGGACCAGTTATAACCTGGAATGTACAAGGGGGTCTTGTGAAAGGGAGATCAAGTTCATTAGCTATCTACATAGTTTTGAAAAAAGAAGTCAAATATGCACATGTTCATTTTCAATTTTGTGTACCAGACCAAAAGTATCTCCAATATCATTCTTCCACCAATTATACCTGTAATGAAGTCATTAACTGAGCATCAAGTGAATGATGACAAATACACAGGTGTAGATTATACCATGAGACATGGATGACAAGACGGGTGTAGTAGTTGTTGTATTACATGCAGTTACATGTGTACTGAATTTTATTTTTGCAAAAATGTTACGAAAACATATTTGCTGTATACAAAACTCATAATTGTACATATACATTTACACACGCAGACGAATTTGCAAGGTGAAAAGTTTAGTAAGCATCATCCCGTCAAATGAGATAATTCAAGGGGATTCCCCCTCTCTGTCAACAAGGTTTCTGCAATTGCCCCCTCACTGATCCAAAGCCCAGTTTGTTGGGTCGCTGAAGCCAATTAGCATCCGATGATTATGCAGGCTAGTTAAAATGGCGCCAACGAGATGACTAAGAGTTGGGCATTTAAATCGAGCCCTGTAAACATGATAACGTGACATGCTATGATTGATCAGAATTGGTAATCACAATGTTCATTATCTACAGCGGAATACTTCTGGTGTGAGATAAAGAATATTCAGGAGATAATTTTTCGGAAAGCTGGTCATGATGGTTGTGTGTATGTCTCTGTTTGGTGTTGTGCGTCTGTGTGGTGTGCCATGTGTAGTGTGTCACTGTAGCGACAGAATTTGGCACTAGTCCTGTAGCCCTTACCAAACTGTCCAATAGTTAAAGTATCATATGGCTCATAGAAATTTGCCATTTGAACATGTTGAAAGGGTTTTGCTATATGCTATCAATATAAGGACTGGTGGTATAACAATGTTTGTTTCTATCGCTGCACTGTGGTGGTGTGTGTAGTGTGTCTCTGTGTGGTGTTGTGTGTGTCTGTGGTGTGCCATGTAATGTCACAATGTGATGTTTTGTATAGTGTGTGCCTCTGTGTGTTGTGTGTAGTGTGTATCTGTGTGATGTGCCATGGTCATGTAATGTGTGTCACTGTGTTGTGCCATGTAATGTGCTTCACTGTGTAGTGTTGTGTGGAGTTGGGTGTAGTGCTGTGTGATGTGCCGTTTAATGTGTGTGTCTCTGTAGTGTCAATGGGTTGTGTTGTGTGTAAGTGTGTCCCATCTGGACTGTATCTCGTGTATTTCCAGGAGATAAAGTCTGACCTTGAGAGCTCTTCCATGTCCTCTTCCCCGGCCCCAACATACACCTGTGACTACCCAGAATGCAATGCTGTGAGTTTCATGTCATATTCTATTATTTTTTTGTTAATAACCAGTAAGAATGTCTGAGTATGTCATAAGATAAGTTAACAAACTAGGCATGGTAATGCCTGCAAACCAGATTTCTCAGCATGCTCAGTGTTTGTATTTGACTGCTGTTTTCTCATTAATCTACCCCATGATGCCAATTTCTTTTCTGAAATGTCAAACCTGCATTAAACCAAACTCACTCACTTTTTTTTAATGCACACACTATTTTTCTGACAATCTTTTTGCATTAATACAGAGGTTGTGTTATCTGATTAACAACACACCACAAAGAAAACTTTCTGAACAATTTAATGTCTTATATACTGGGAGTTGTTTTTCGACTTGTTATGAAGTGATATGACACAGAATTGCCACTGTTCAGTTGCAGCCTCTGTCTACATATTAGTTGATTTGTGTATCTCTTAAAAGTGTCTACTCCCTTAATAAGTACTCCAGCATCTGTTGTCCATCACATATGTGACCATCTTCCCGAGGTCTGGACTTCTACAGTCAGTTAACTCTCTTGCCTTGGGAAGATGATATGTGATTAATGTTCAGTGGTCATTAAGTCTGATTACCTGCTTATATCAGTTTGTTAAAACTGTAGTTAATATGTTTTGGATGGCCCATTAATCAGATTAAGGGAACTATTCACACACTATGGTGGAGAGGTGAAGCGTCGACCACATTGAGGTCAATAGAGGCATCTATCTGCATGAAGGGTCAGTGAGACTATTGCTTTGAAATCTTCAGTTTCGATGAGGATATTATCAGTGATTATTACAATTACCATCAGTGAAGCAATATATATTTGCCAGCACTAAGATCTTTGCATATGTGAAATTTCAGGTGCATTGATCTGGAAGTTGATTATCACCATGATCGCATCATGCATACATTCCAAGAATCTGCGTGCATCACATGACATGAACATGCTTTGGGTTTCCTTGATAAGGATATATTTACCATGCTTACATATTACTGCTTAAATAGTCAGATGTTAAAGTTAATATTGTTTCTCCAAACTGCGATGTGCAAGTGTATCCTCTATTTCAGATCTTCACCTCCAAGCAGGCCCTGAATGGCCACTCAAGGATGCATGGAGGGGGACCAGTAAGACCTCCCCCTCCATTCCATGATACTATGCCAGAACGCCCTCAACCACCACCTCCACCTCCACCACCACCCCATCCCCATCCACATCCACATCCCCACCCCCCTGTCCAACGCAAACCTCGCCCTGCCACACCCAGCAAACCACCAGCTACAGATGGCACTGGAGACATCTTCCCATGTAAACTCTGCAACAGGTAAAGTCTATAGTGTTTTCTTCTGGGTTCAGTAACAACTGTGTTATTTATTTGGTTTGAAATTCCTTGTATTTTTGTGCCAAAGCATGGTTAAAATGAGGTCCCGATGCCGAACACAAAAGTATATCATATGTTTGCAATTTAAGTACCTTGTGCAGTTTGTGTGATGTTTGTTATATGATACTAGTGGTATATATTTTTCACAACAAACACATCAAAACCCTTAGTGAACGGAATACTTCACAAGATAAAATTGGAGATTCTGAAATTGAAAACGGTATTCGACTCTCAATGACAAGAACATGGGCAAACTTTCTGAATTGCAGCTACTTCATATCTAGCAAAATTACTAACCCTGTTGCATCATCTAGCCATGTTAACATGATGTGAAATGTTTGTGGTTTACAGAGTGTTCTACAAGGTGAAGAGCAGGAGTGCTCACATGAAGAGCCACAAAGTACAGGACAATGAGAAGAACAAAGCCAGAGAATTAGAGCTGGCTAAGTTGAAGGCTGCAGCAGAGGTTCTTTGAAATCTGCTGTCTTCTCAAGACTTGCCTATGTGACTACATGACTTATCTGCAGATGTTAAATGCTCATCTCTGTATGTCTGGAGGATAGCAGATGCATGATTACACCTTTCAACGTGGGAAACCTCATGAATAGGTAGAATTAATTGGGTTACTGAATGCTGAAATTCAAACAGGGTATGTCAAAACAGCCATTCAGTAGATACAATTCTGAATCTTCTAGTTGGAGCCTAAGAGTTAAGCAGGAAGGCTCTTTTGTGTCAATGGCTTGCTTCCCGTGCCACAGGTATCTACTGTACTCTTGGATCTGCTGTTCCATGGATGCAGTTCTGGAACTGTGTAGTGGCTTGGTGTCTTCTGAACCTTGAAGAAGTAAACAGGTTGGATAATCCCACTTCAGTTCATGATGGCAGCTTCAAGATTTTATTCTCCTTGTCTATACATGACAAAGTGTGCTGGAAGACCAGAAGCTCAAGTTTGTCAAGGGACTTGAAGTTCTATAGCTCATGTGGACTTGCTGCACTTGCACACTCACTTGTCATGGTCGTGTCACACAACCAGTTATGGCCTCATATCATGTCAGCTCCTACCATGTTTTTTTATGATTGTGTACTTTCTGAGCTTTCCTTTTAGATAGCAGAACATTTTAGAAAGACCTTGACAGTAGATATGTTTGAAAGAATGTTTTATACGATGTTCTTAACAGTTTTAACTCATGTGGTGCTTTATTATGACCCAGTGGCTGTGATGTTGGGAGTGTGAGAATGACATGGTGTGACACCCTATATTACACTGTTAAGACATGTGGAGGATTAACACTAGGCTTCTTTATGAAGGATCACATACGTTGCATTACAGCTACACCATGCACACACCACACCACACCACACCACATGTCTGATGTGAATATAAATACATGTATGATTCTAAAATTTAAGGCTTAAGAAAAAACATGTTATTTTTATGTACACTGTACAGATGAACTTTTTATTGATACATGCAGACTAGTACTATATCATGGATCTGATGGGGGTAAGTATAAGGTTTGTTATGGCCTGGATTAAACATATTTTTATAAATTATGATAAATTAGGGACAAAATGTGAAAGATGTGTGGACTTATATTTGACAAAGAATAGGGATGAGCATGTGCCATAACTCATGTTGAAGTGCTAATATTCCACTCAATTCAAACTGATGGAATGCAATGAGAGTGCTATAAATAAAATTCTTTTTCAATTGGGGAAAAGACATGTAAGATCTCTCTGATGATTATAAAGTTATTCTTGATCACAAAGTTGTCTCTCCCTGTCTCCTGTTTCTCAGATAATTCCATTTTCTGAACCAATTGTACCATCAAACTATGTTGAAGAGTTATTGTATACATGGTATATAGTATTCTATTTCCTGATATCCATAGAATGCTTGTCAGTGTAAGATTCTGCTGCAATGAAATATGGAACTTATAAATTGGCTTTCTCTTGACAGTACAGTAATCTTGTAAACAGTATTCAGATATAGGACTGAGGGATAGCCTCTCTCACTACCTCATGTGTCGGCCAGTAATATGCCTGTTTTTGGATAGTTAGACTGCCATGTTTGTTACAGATGAAAATACCCATAGGAGGAGGCAGCAGGAACGTTATCTGGGAAAACTGCTTTGGAATTGCTTTAGTGATAACTTGAATCAGTAATATCTCATTATCTTCTTTAATCATCTTATTATGAAATCACTTCTGTCATGGATGAAAGTATTCCCTTCTTCAATATAACAATCAGTTAACTTAATGCAGGACACAGAAAATCCAATGAGATCAAATGGCAGTTTTCTTTATGTAAGCAGTATTAAGTACATATTACACTAGGTGCATGTACGGTTCTGTGAACTCAAGCTGGCCTCATGGAGTCTCTGTCTGCCATTGTATTGCTCACAATGGTGTATGTGTGCTCTGAAAAGCTATTGGTTGGAAATGTGCCAAATGTTTTCTACATTTCAATGTCCACATCTGTCTTTTTTAAGCACCTAATATATTAGATTGACACTGGCAATGCTGTGCTGGTGGATTTTGACCCACATTTTACCTGTATTCGTCTGCTGATTTCTATCTTAATAACTGTTGTCAGCCACTAAAAACATCCCCATATCATCAAACATACAGTTCTTTTGAAACGAACATGTTAAGTGGCATATATTTTGTTTCAAAGATATATACATGTGTATAGGTGTTGTTTTTTCCTAAATGTGTAGGTTATAATGTAGTGAAGTAATCATGTCTGACCTGGAAGAATGGAAGATGTGAGAATTCTTTCCTCTTGGGCACAAATTACCTGTATTGTCAGCAGTGGTCTGCTTCCCTTCTTTCTTCTTGATGTTTGAAATAGTGACTTCATATGTGAATGAATGTTATTCAAAACTATTTTTGAGACCCATTAACCTATGTACGTTTAATTTGATCAACCAAAATATTGGGGACCAGAAACTATTTCCTAATCGGTTTCGTTCATAAATGTGGAATCTTAACATCGTGATACTCAATACAAATCCTAATATGGGGATAAGACTATTTATCTCATCAGAATATTATTTTGATTAAAATTATATCATAAGGAAAATGTGAGTAACTAATAAACAGTTTTCTGGTCAAGCCACACCACAAAATGTGGCAAGGAGCCTTAAACCAAGCCATGACTTGCATGTTGAGATATGATGGAATTTACACATAGATGCATAATTGTTTTGTTTTGTTGTTCTCATTTTTTTCGTAGAAATATATCTTGACTACAGGTGGCACAACTATTTTCTTTTAAACATTCCTTTGATTATTTATAAATGGGTTTAATGACTCCAAAGTAGTTGAATTGCTATTGGTCTTGTCCGTCCATTCTGTCTTCACCTGACATCAAGTGGAAACCTCATCCAAAGGATATTCTGTTGCTTTTTGTGATTCATTTCTGAATGTTCTATCAGTGTGCTTCTGTTTGTTTTCATGCATCAGTTTTGAAAGAATAATCTTTAGTTTTAATTATTTAGATATTTTAATATTTATTTAAGGGATGTTTCAAAATTACTATTGATATGTGCTGTATCTAATAATTTAATGATGTGTTGAGTTATTCTTTTGTGTTTCAACCATTTACTTGAACTGGAACCAAAAGTGTTTGTTAATGCCTTACAGTTGAAAGTACAGTACAAATATCTTTTTCCTCTTTGATATAGTAGAATATTGACTTCAATATTAAGATTATATACATTTGTTACTATCAGATTTTAAAGTGGATCTTCAACCAGACAAATAAGCATGACTATTGAATATTTTTATGTATGTTGTTAAGATATTGTTTAAATTTTATATTATGACCTTCAAAAACGTATGAGTCAGAAATTCCTGTGAAACTTGGTATGGCGTTTCAGTGTACAAACCAGTATTAAATAGTAGTAATTCTTAGTTGTTCTGCCAAGGCATGACGAACTGGTAACAGCCACTCTGATGAGGACAGCAACCCAATGTAACAGACACTACAAGACTTTAATTTAGTATCTCATCAAGCTCAAACCTTTGATAGCCTTTTTATATTTCCTAAATCTGCAGCTTATTATTTGATTGACGACAGGTGCAGTTAGTAGTTCTAGTCTAGTATCACTAGGTTGTCGTGACATGAGGAGGAATGTCTAGATCCAACCTATTTTTAATGAAAGGTATTAATGGAAAGTGCAAGGCAGAGGATAAGGAAAACTTTAGCTGAAATTCTGATCTTACTGTGAGTAAGAGATCGTCAATGATGGTTCCTGGCGAGTTGGCTGTTGCTGGAAGTAAAACTAACAATTCATACTGCTTTGTGTCATGGTCTTCACTAATCATTGCTCCATTGTTGCAGATGGAATGTTATTTTTACATTGTCTTTGTGATTTTAACATACTTTGAGATACTTTTATACTTACCACCTTCAGTGTTATGTACGTTTGTCAGTGAGAATTAGGGCATAATGAATGTTACCAGTATAATGCTCATATCAAGTTGCACTAACAATGTATGCATGCATCTGTTTGTTAATGACCACACCTCTAATGAATTGTATCTCTCTGGTCATTGTACATAACTATGACACATTTGCTCATCAGGTTGAGTGCTTCTACACTTATGACCATACACACTAATAACTTCAAAAGTTAATCAGTTGGTTACATTAAGGACTCTTGAGGCATCCTTATTATTATATTCTAATCTGGATATATTGCTTTGTCATTCCACAAGTACATCATATTATGAAGCAAACAGATTTGCTTATCTGATAGTGAATTTTATGCATCCATACCTTATTGTCAGTTGTCATCAAGGTTGTGCAAGGTACCTTGAGTATTGGTCACTTTCAGGGTAAAGTGGACCAGGTCAGTTGAACTTCAATGACTTTATGATGTGTGAAGCCCATTTCTGGTGTTTCCTAGCGTGATATTGCTGGAATATTGCTAAGTGTGACTATACTCATACTCACTCAATGACTCCATTTTTGTGTTGTCTTTGAAGGCATGATAAAAGTTAGATAAAAATAAATGTGTTTTGTGTGTGTCTAATTTCAAAAGTAAGAAAAATAATGTTTCACTGTTCAACTGAAATATTTAATATTCTATTATGAAATCCAACTAAATGAAATAATTTTAGAAATAGCTCCAAACCTGCATGACATTTTGAATTACAAAATTACAAAATGCACAGAATTGGGCATAGTGTAGAGTAACAGAACCATTACTGTTTTCCATGCTTCTTAGTGCAAGGAAAGCATATTGGCTCAAGTGTATGTCATAAGTGTAGAAGTGACTCATTACCACTCTGTATGTTGATCATTGTTGCCGCATCACCTGTGTGTGAGTGTGTGTGTGAAGTATGTTTGTGGCGAGTGTGTAACTATGCTGTACATAGTGTATCTATGTACTGTTGTTCAGGAGTTGTCCTGGTTGTGGCTTATATTGCTGTTGAGAAAAGATTTATTTTGTTATCAGGTAAAACCAGCCTGTTGTATCCCCTAGCTAGACCCCTATTGTACCGTGCTTGTCAAACAAAGCTTGTATATTGTCCTTTGGCAAGCAGGAGAGAATGCCATGTTTATGTTTTGACTATTGTTAGTGGTGCGATATGATTCTATAGAACCATTCTTGAAGGTACCTTTTATCAACCATGCCATTTTAGTCATCATCTCTCATGACATAGCATTTTCATCGAATAAAATGAGAGGTTGGATGTACCTCATGAAAGAAAATAACATTCCTTTTCTTCTTTTTTCATCTCCAAAGAATAGATTATTAGTTCACCGAAAGTCAGTTGAGCTTATGTTGTGGTATCTGTCCTCCAGTCTTACGCTTTTGACGTTTGCATGTTTGACATCCCTGAAAGAATAAGGTATATGAAGCTGAAACTTGAAAGCAAGAAGCAGCTATTGTGCCGCCAAAAGTTGGTCACAGAATTCTGGTAAGAGGCGTCTAAAGGGATCAGGTGGTCAGACTCACTGACTTGGTTGATGCATGTCATTGTATCCAATGGCATAGATCGATGCTCATGATATCCATCACTGGATTGTCTGGTCCAGACTCGATTATTTACAGACTTCCGTCATGTAGCTGGAATATATTAATAGTACTGTTTTCCATTACTAAGCCATTTCTCAGGTCCTATGTGCAATATGAAGTCAATTTCTATTTCAAAAACATAGGTTTCTTAACTATCATCTTAAAAAAATGTAAAGTTTTTTTTATATTTATGTGGAGAGACAACAATTATTGTCATAAGTTATCCAACATAGATCGATCATCAACAGAAATGTTTCCATTTTTGTCGACAAACATTTTAATTCTGAAAGTCTGTCCCTCCTTTGAATGAAACTTGGATATAAGAGAAAGTATACCATTTATCTGATAGCCTTAAAGGCAGCAGAACTTACATCATGTCCAGAGGAAATAACTGGATTCGAAAGTTATGTACAGTAATGCCGTATTGATGTAATCACAAAATATAATACCTTGACAGACTGTCCAATCAAAGAAAAGAGCGTGTCAGTGTTTGAAAAGACGTCGACACAGCCAAGTGGATGAGGAAGGCAAAATGATTCAATTGATTGGGAAGATTTGTTGCCTCTCCTTCAGGAACCATTGCGACTGCACAAAGTAAGAACAAGACTATACTCTGTGTCCACAGTATGGACTAGACAAAAGTTCTTGGTACTGCTTTAGAACGTTCAAAAAAGGAATTGATGCCTTACACTTAAGAAACGTTCTCTGCCAAAAATCAGTTTCCCTAAAAATGTCACACTATATTTCAAGGTTCAGCTTTCACCAACAGTTTTGTTTCCCTATACGAACACCATATTGTCCAAGTTCTCTAGGGTACATTGTGTGTGAAGCCCATTTCAGGTGTCTCCCGTGGCCCATAATCATCAATGCAATCTTTTCATTCACAGAAAGAATTTTTAGAGAAGTAGAACAAGAAAACAGCCTTATCACCACCCCCGCCACGGGTCACAATTGAATTTTTATGTTCACATATACTTTGAAAAAGAAAACAAACGCAATAGTGATTTTAGATGTATAAAAATTAACACACATTGTCTTTGATCCTGCTTCCATATGTCACACATGGAGCAGTATATTTTCAAGGTGGAGGGCATCATAATTCAATGTTTTTTTTGGCCACCAATAGAGTCCCCAAAAAGACTGGCAACGTCGTCCCATGGAAACAATCAGATTTCGATTAGTGGCCTGGGGACAATTCACCCACACTGCTTGCAGTGCTTGTGCCAACTCTCGGAGGCTCTGTGATTGTCGCTGACGTGCTCGCAGTTGTTGATCCAGTGCATCTGATACATGTTCGATTGTGTTTAATTCTGGAGGGCCATTGCATGACCTTGATGTTGTGATTCCTGAAAAAGTCTGTTGTCAGACTTGCCGTTTGAGGTCGGGCGTTGTCTTGTTGGAAAATGACGTTCGTTTGTTGCATAATGGGAAGAACGGGTGGCCGAAGAATCTCATCCGTGTAACGTGCCGTTGAATTCCCCAGAACTTGCACCAGATCTCTTCTACCAGTGTTGGAGATGGCGGCCCACATCATCACATCACCAAATCTGTCCACTTCCTGTATGGATAACGCCTGTAGACATGACGTCTACCGTGACTCGTCACTAAACATAACTTGTCTCCATCGCTGTGACTTTTGACAACACTGACATTATGTACAGTAAGTATGCTCTTTCTTCGAGGATTTCAAAGAGCGCCATACGACTCAGGGCCACAACATTGAAGGCCTCAGTAAAGCTTTCAAAATGTTTTATGGTAATAAAAACGACACAAACATATACATAATCATAAGGAGACGACATCTCTTCTCAATCTCTGAGCAGAAATGTGATACCAATTTTCAAATTGTGGTCACTTACTCTTTCCATGTAATTGTTTCTTATTCTCCTCAAAGGGGCGGTTCGATTCCCGACATGGGTACAATGTGTGAAGCCCATTTTTGGTATCCCCCGCCGTGATATTGCCGGAATATTGCTAAAAGCGGCGTAAAATCAGACTCACTCGCTTCTCCTCAAAGGGATGTCAGTAGGACAAAAGATATGGACATATCAACTGCGCAAATCTTGTTATCCTATAAAGCTTAAGTATTTTTTTATGTTGCCTGTGTGTATCTTATTGTGTACTGCGAAGACCATCCCCGAAAATACATAATGATCAAAGGACAAAACTCTTTAAAGGCTTTATTACCATCTGAATGATCTAGTCATACAACACCCAAACTGTCATAGAACAGTCCTATACTTGTAGTCTATGGAGCTCTACCGATACTATCAAGATGGGATTTCATGTAATAAGTCATAAGGTTCTTCTAGTGCAACACTGTTTTACGTCAAGTGCTTGAAGGTATGTCTTGATAGGACAGTTCCTGTGATGAAATATCACGGCAAACTGACTCTTCTTCAACGTTCTCAGACTGTCCTTGCTGTCGTTGTTTACATCTCCGGTTCTTAATGAATTCACTCACAAGGACGGCAAGTGCTAAGGCCACACCCACCCCTGCACCATAGAAGGCACTCTGCAAGGCTAACATGTCTATCCTCTTGGATTTTCTGCTTGGTGGCTCACACTGATGTTTAGGTTTCCATTGATTCCACCACATATGCAGTATGCCGCTTTCGTATAGCTTCAATATTCTGCAAAGGTGAATATGAAGTAAAAGAGAATATGTTCACATAACATATTTAAATTATATATTCTTACAAGAATAATGATTTCTGTCATAGTTATTTAGTTATCCTATTCATGTGTCGGTCAGACCCTCAATACTTGAGCTGGGTTACAAGTTCTCTTCAGCAAGCCGTGGTTGACGTAAGAGGTGACTGGCGTTTCGGGTGGTCAGTTTATTGACTTGGTTGATGCATATAATCGTATCCCAATAGAGTGGATCGATGCTCATGATGTTAATCACTGGATTGTCTGGTCCAGACTCAATTATTTACAGACTTCCGTCATGTAGCTGGAATATATTAATAGAACTGTTTTCCATTACTAAGCCATTTCTCAGGTCCTATGTGCGATATGAAGGCAATTTCTATTTCAAAAACATAGGTTTCTTTACTATCATCTTCAAAAAATGTAAAGTAAAGTTTTTTGGAAAAGCGGCGTTAAAGAACAATACAACAACACATATTGTGATCTCGCATGGCATGCATGTAACAAAATGCCACTTTCCATTGCTAAGCCATTTCTGCATGTTTCTTTATGAAATGTTGATTGGAAACAAGTATGTGGTATGTGCAATAACATAGCATTCATTTGTAGCCAGATTCTGACAAGGGATTACTTTTGCCATTACGCCATCAATCTATTTCTATGATTTACATAAACGGTAATTTTATGTAGATTTAAATTAAATTTCTTTTTAAGTAGATGTGAATTATGTTGATCATTTAATTTCTAGTTTTATTGATGTGTTTGTAGCATGATCGGATAAATATGCAAACAAGGTCACATAGCAGGAATTCCTTTCTGTTAGCTCTACACATAATGTGTGGTTTACCTCATCAACAGCTATTGCATGACGTTTCCTTTATGATTAGATTCAGTTTTCCTGATGTGTGAGTAATTATGTACAAACATAGCTGCAACTTATTTGGCACTATGTCATAAATGGTGCTGTTCACTCAGATATTATATTCCTGCGTGGTTTCCAAAATTACTATAGTTAATATCACTATGTCTTCATTTATTTAAGAATCACATGATAATGCCTCGTCTGCTTTCGTTTCGTAACTATCTTATATTATAAGTGCGAGTTGTAATCTCCACAACAGACGAACCGAGGCCACAGAACGTGTTTAGGCGGGATAAACATATATCCGACTCAATATAAATGTAGTCAAGCTGAAGTATCAGAGGCAGAGCATAACACGAGACATTTTGTGCTCACTTTTGGGAGAAGAGCTGTGTGTTTATGCTATGTTTGGGTAGGGCAACTGCAAGTTTGTTGAAACGAAACTTCTCGTTTAACATCTGTAAATCACATCGCCGTGGGTCGTCCCACATCTCCAAAGTAGAATCTTCTCCGAGGTAGACGTACTGGCTCTCGGCCGCTCGGCGCAGGTGCTCGTCGTCATCCTGGCTCAACCAATCAGGGTTCTTGGCCATGATTTCCTCCACACGGTGCCATATCTTCTGATAGACGGAGTTGTTGGATTCCTGTAAACAGGTTCCGTATATAAAATTACACATTGTTGATAATACAGCATCCCTTCGCAGATACATAACAGGTAAGGATGATGAATTCAATCAATCAATTCTTTATTCAGTATGAGGGCCATAGGCCCACATAAAAATAACAACTCACACGTATGGTACTAGCAATATACACAATTTTGTTCATTGCTCAAGAAATACTTTCTTCTTTCATACGCATGGTATATAAACTTTCTCAGTTATTTTGTTTATTCTTTATCGTTTGTGGCAATTATCTTTTTCAATGTATGCATATCTACATTGGTGACACATATCTACATTTGTAATTCTAATAGAATCTATAGCATAAAGAACACTTCTGGGGAGGTAAAGAACCCTTCTGGGGAGGAAATAGATAGTTTTCTAGTTGTAGTAAGTAACAAAAAAAGCCTTTTTGGCCAATAGATGTAACTCAGCAACAGATTCACTTTGTCTAATCTTACAAATGAAGACAAATCCTAGATATCTGTAAGTATTAACGACCCCTAAATTTTGTCCTCTATAATGCCATATTTCTTTAGCTGATACGTTTCGTCCTCTTCTGTAAACAACATTAAATCTGTGTTATTAGTCATTCCCCACTAATTTGCACAAGAATCTAAAATATTTATCTGAGGCTGTAAACCACATATAGTATCAGAAACCATCAGACAATAACAACATTAATACTTCTACTATATGTCTGTAAGAATTGAATGCCATGAGTTCCACGTGCCATAGCATCTGTCACCAATTCATTAATAAATAATGAGAATAACATAGCGCTCAGCACACATCCTTGTCTTAAACCAAACGGACAATCAAAATAATCTGCGGAATCTGTATTACATCTAACACAAGCTGTAACTGATTGGTATGAACGTTGTAATGCCCTGAACATGTTACCATTTTAGCAATAGGAAGACTATACTTTCCATGTCTTTGCTCGATTGACACAATCAAAGACATTTAAAAAATAAAAAACTACTTACAATTTCTTTTTTTGACATAGACATTTTCAATAACTGCACATAAGGTAAAACTAGGTTCCATATTCGCATAACTTTGACGAAAACCTGCTCGATATTCAGAAACTTTATTCATAACACTTTGCCCATTTTGTAAGTCTGTCATTTAAAACACATGTATAAATCTTTTTGAGCAAACTTAGTAAAGCTATTCCTTTGTAATTTTTTGTATGTATTTTTTATCCAACGAGATAAGGACCGCCTCCGTGGTCTAGTGGTAGAGCGTCCGCCCGGAGAGCGGAAGGTCCGGGGTTCGATCCCCGGCCGCGGCATACCAAAAGACGTTAAAGAATGGTACTTGTTATTACCCTGTCTTGCACTCGGCATTAAGGGGCTAAAACACTATAAATCGGCATCAGTCCGGACTAGTACAAGCAGCCACACACACACACACACGTACATGCACATCGCTATATAAGTGCAATAATATTGGACGCGACGTTAAACCCCATTTCACCTCACCTCACCTCCAACGAGATAATAATGGTCTTAGTCAATAAGTCCAGGAAACATCCACTATTAACGATCTTGTTTTACAAAGAAAGTAGAAAAGGCATGATTACTGGTATCGAAGATTTAATCGTTTCAGTGAGCAGTGTCAGTTTCAGAGGATTTTCCATTTTTTATGTACGTAATACTTATTTAGCATTAGTTTTTTTCTTTAACTTTTATAGAAGATTAGGATAGCTCTTCAACCTCACTTGTGTGAACAGATCTGTCAGATTCATTTTCTATTGCTACAGTAATATTTTCTAAGCTGTTTAAAATATCGCTGAAATGATCAAACCAACTATCGCTTTTAGTATTATAAGAAGTTTTCCGGGTATTTGAAAAACGTACTAACTCTTTCCCAAAAGCTGCTGAATTTGGTCTAGTTGCATATAGCCTGTGCCCTATAGAATGCACATCGCTATATACGTGCAAAAAAATTGCATGCGACTTTAAAACCATATAACCTCAAATTTGCGTTAAACCCACCTCACTCATATTATACACCTACTGACCTGAAGGAGAGTCTCCATCGATGTTCCTCTCACAAAGCCCCATCGGTATGTGTCCTGCTGCACCATCTCAGCCAGGTTGGAGAAGGGAGGTTTCTGTCGTCCGTCGGTGAGGAAGGCTATGAGGTTGCCACTGTAGGTGGTCGCCATTATCACCGTGAACATCCACCAGCAGCCGAGCATTGTACGTCCGGACACTGTGTTGGGAAGATATGCTCCTCCTGGAATATTAATAAAAGGCTTATTGAACATTGAGGCGCATGTGTATAAAGGTGCTAGTATCTGCACGGAAAGAGCACAACAGTATAAAGAAGCATTCATTCAAACATATGCTTGTTATCAAATGTGTATATGCTTGGCAATCGTATTACAGACACCACGCAAAAGGGTCTGGAACAGGCAGATTTATGTTCGACAAAATCAAAATAAATTAATTTCACTGATACATGATCTGCGATGTAGTGAGTGAGCGAGTGAGTATAGTATTACGCGGCCTTTAGCAATATTCCAGCAATATCACGGCGGGGGACACCAGAAATGGGCTTCACACATTGTACCCATCTGGGGAAAACGAACCCGGGCCTTCCGCTTTAACCACTTGGCTACCCCACCGGCACGATCTGCGATGTTAGACTCGTGAATCGGTTTCATCAAGTGGTATGCGTCTTATGGTATGTGTTTGTTGTGTTTTCTATCAATGTCCAAAAAGGCTGATGGACAGATACAAACAAGTTAATGGATAGATACATTTTTATGCAACCACCGCTGTGCAAATAATTTGTTTGTTTGTTTGTTTGTTGTTTAACGCCGCACTCAGCAATATTCCAGCTATATGACGGCGGTCTGTAAATAATCGAGTCTGGACCAGACAATCCAGTGATTGACAGCATGAGCATCGATCCATGCAATTGGGATCGATGACATGTATCAACCAATTCAGCGAGCCTGACCACCCGATCCCGTTAGTCGCCTTTTACGACAAGCATAGTCACCTTTTACGGCAAGTATGGGTTGCTGAAGACCTATTCTATCCCGGAATCTTCACGGGTCGCTGTGCAAATGAAAATGTATGGCAATAATAAGAACGTATCATAGCGAGTGCAATGCTAAGGCAAAGTACACTAAATGGCATTTCAGAACTTTTGCTCTTGAGCAATGTTGAGTCACCGTGGAATAATAGAAACGGCTTTATTGAACGTCGATGCCCATGTGTATAAAGGTACTAAATGGAAACGTTGCAATAAATATAACTAAAGAAGTTGACATCCACACAATTGCTTGATGTCATTATGTGTATTTGCTTGGCAACCTTATTATGGATACAAAATTTGCCAAGAACGGGGAGACCTATGTTCGTACAATGAACTCTTACGCATTTTTATGATTATGGAAATGTTTTTTTCGCTTTTATTATTATCATTTTACTGATAGCATATTCACTAATTGGTACATCATCATGTTCGAAGTGTTTGGTGCAGCACAGAGGGTTTCAGTGATTCTGGCTGTCAGACTGGTTAAGCTCATCATCAGCTAACCCGGGGACACTCTCAATGTCCGTCAACAGATTAGGAAATGTAGATCATGCAATGAATGTAATGAGACTGTCAATCACATTGTCAGTGGATGCCGAGCTTTGGCAAAAACACGGTATCTTGAGCGACGTGATGGAGTGGCTCGATACTTGTATTAACTTCTTCGCCATGCTTGTGGTTTTGACACAGAGGTCCATCCATGGTAAGACCCAGAATACGAAGAGGGCGTTATGGAAAATGATACATACACTATTCTTTGGAATAGGCCCAATTACAGCGACAGACCCATCATGGCCAACAAACCTGATCTCGTCATTTTTAATAAATCCAATGATATCGTTTATCATTGAAGTTTCTGTCCCTCTTGACACTAATGTGATTGACAAAATTCAGGAAAAACATGGCAAATATGCGGACCTCGCTTTCGAAATGTCACGCTTCCATCCAAAGTACCAAGTTATCCGACTCCCCATTGTTCTCGGTGCCTTAGGTTTGGTACCTCCCAATCTGTTGACTGACATTGGGAGAGTACCCGGGTTTGCAGCCAGTAATACAGCACTTCTGACAATCTGTGTAATGCAGAAGGCTGTCTGGGCTGTCTTTGCTGTATTTCTTATTTTAATCTGTACATAATAATTATGATAATAATTTACTATGAAAAGCTCATTGATAGATTCTCCTTTTTGGGGACATACTTATGATGAAGAGACCCCCAAAATAACACATACAACATTATGATGTACCGATTAGTGAATATGCTAAATAAATAATGTAATTTAAAGTTATTTTAAATCCCTGAACATATACATAATGTCATTTTAGAACTTATGTGATAGTGCAATGCTAATTTACCGTTCGCCATAAGAGCTCCAAAATGATACCAGAGTATATCCCCATAACGGGTCAGCCTATCCGTGAGTCTGCCGTCCGTCCACGGACTGACGGATGTGACTTCTTCTATCAGGAAGAGGAAGACAGTGGAGAAGATGAAGGAGACGAGGATACAAATAAGAACCTCATAGCGGAACAGGGAGAGTAGGGTCAACCATTTGTTGGTGTTGGGATCTTGTTTGCCGATTATAAGCACAGAGTTGACGTAGAAGAATGGCGCTGTGACGTCGATGACTGCCGATCTGCTCCCAGTCAAAGACATCGGTGCCACAACCAAATCAACTTCCTGGAAGTACGGAAAAACTACCTTTAGTCCTGACTTAATGAGCCAGGTGTGTGTGTGTGTGTGTGTGCACATTCAAGGAGCGCTATGTTGGAATTCCTACAAGTCGTTCAAATACCACTTTGTCTGCTAACAAACGTTCTGTTATGTATCTGTTATGAATCAATCTAATTCTGATAGTAATGGCACAGATACAATGTGTCGGTTTTACAGTTTCCCAATAAAAAACTTC